AAATTAAGATTGATTATGTCGATTCATATAGTGATTGTAACTGCTTATATTGATATGGATTGAATGATTACATGTATATTATTTCTACTGTCATGTATTGATAGTAGTTGTAAGTTCTGGTGACTTGCTAAAATTATGCTCATTATATGATTTTTACATAATTTTAGGAAAGGTTTTGGTGGAATGAGGCAGATCCAATTCTGGTTTAGACATTTCTTTTATTTTTTTATTCATTCTTTTGTAATCATAATTGTATTAAAATATATTAATTTGATAGGCATATTCATGAGTAATATAAAAGATTTTTGAAATGTGAAATAAAATATACATGTTTTGAATATGAAAGTGAAAGATAGCTTTTTGTGTGTATATTCTTTTTATGTGGGTGATTACTAGTGGCTTTGGTTGATGATTAAAATATTTAAAATAGACAATTCTTTCAAAATCAAATTCTAGGGCGTGACAGAGGCTTCCTTTGGGCTAGCGTAACTTTGCCACGTGGTCCCTCTAGCTGAGTCTCGTATACAAGAACCTATTTATATACATATGAGTTATTTTCATGAGTATTTATGGATATACAACTATGACCCTATAAGCACAATAATTCAAATCTTTATTAGAATAAACTTGTCAAACTATTTCACATTAACTAAATAATGTTGGAAACAACATTAACCCTAATGCAATGCTATATGACTTCTTCATTATTTTTCTAGTTTTTTTTTTTTAAAAAAATTGTGATCATTTTATATTAAATCTACTCATTTTCTTCTTAATCTTTCCCCACTAATTCCATGTTTCTCATAATATATTTTCTAGTCCAAATTGAGTTTACCTTATTGTTACTCATAACATAATCATTTTTCTATCTTATAATAGAGTTGATTACTTTGTGCTTGCACAACAAATATTACAAAACATTAGTGCAATATGGATTTATATGCAATTAATGTTGAAGAATCATAAAGAAAAATAGGTAGAATAAAAATACTACATATAGGTAGAAGTTATATAAAAAAATTAGCAATATGAAGGAATCATAATATACTCCATTAGTTGGGATTAAGCTGGCAATACTGATCTATCTTTCATAGTTTAACCAAACTTAAATCAATAAGCATTATCAAATATCTCTAAGCTTGTTAGTCAAACCTAACAATTTAATGTTTTATTCTAAACCCTAAATTGTTCCACCTTCAACATCCTATTTATTTGTTCTTTGTTGAAATACGCCATACAACATGATTTGAGTATTATTGTGACTATATTTAAAAATCAAATCATTTTATATGTTAATTATTTCCAAAATATTTATATAAAAATAAAATATTCTTCGCTTATTTAATTACATTATCTTAAGTATTTGTCAAGCAAAAAATCATCCTAAATAGAAATTTAGTGAAGTTTACTCTTAAACAAATTTTTTAGGGAAAAAAATTCCAAATGAAAGTATGAATCTTACTGCATGTAGAGATATAAGTGAGTCAAGCGGATTTGGGCTTGACTTGAAAAATTGGTCATGAACTGAGATTTGATGAGCTAACGAGTCAAATTTAAGTTAGCCCTGACTTGAATTAGCAACTGAAAAGTTGTCTTATTTAAAAATATTAATATAAAATATATTATAATCTAAGAGTTTAAGTACAAAGTTATTAAAAAATTTGAAAAATAATCTCATATCTTTTTATCAGTGATTTCTTATTATTCTCTTCTAAATTCTTATTCTTTTTTATCATTTTAGTATAATAGTTGCTTGACTCGTAATAATTTTCTTTCTTTTATAATAAATGAGTGAGCTTATGTGCTTATTCAAACTTGTGGACTGGAGCATAAGTTTGAGGTGGAACTCAAACTCGATTAATTAATCAAGCTCAAGCCAATGGTGACTTGACCTTAGCTCGACTCATTTACACTCTTAATTATATTTTGTCTGAAATGAATAGGTAGCAGAGATGGTAATGACAGATAATTTACAATATATTCATAAATCGGGCAAATATAACCATTTTCAAATACATCAAAGTTGAAATCGAGAGTGAATTCCGAATACTTTAAAATTTTATTATACATTTATTTTACTTCAATTCAAATATTATTATTTACAAAATAATTAAATTTCGAACAACTTACAACCATTTTATTTCAAACCAAATAGCTCCTAAGCCTAACTAAAAATTATAAAAACTTAAATCAAGATTGCGCTTATACAAATTATGAAGATCTAAATTATTAAATATTAATCCAACAAAGCCAAATTATGATTACTCCTTATATTTTTCATAAATAGTTAGCTTATTGCCCTTTGTTAATGAGGCTGGCTGATTGTTATATAGTTGGTTGCATTTTTGGCCTTTGCCTCTGCAATACCTTTGAAAATATTTGTACATTTTTGCTGACAAATAAATAAAAAGAAAACATCATAAAGAAACAAAGGTGATGAGATAAGCCTCTTGTCTATAAATTTGATTTTGGATGATGACGACGACAGTAACATATCAAGTCTTAATCCCACTATATGGGGTCAGCTATATGATTTTTTTTTCTCTATCATATCATATTAAGAATCAAATTCTCATTTAAATCTAATAAAAATGTTATTTCCAATACTTTCTAACTAAATCTTTTTAAATCTATCTCTACATTTTCTAATATAGGCCAAATCTCTTATGCATCTGCTCTCCTAATAGGTCATAGAAAGGCCGACGTTTTGGGATGACATATAACACCAAAGAAAAAAAAAAGTTTATTAGATTATGATGTATCTTATATGTATTTTGTAGCAAAAGATGACGACTTTATTTATTTATTTGGCAATTTTGATTCTATTGAGAAGGTGGATAATAGGTATCTTTGGAAATTGATGGCAATTGGAATCCTCATTTGCTTCTCCAACTTCTCTTGATTAGCAATTCCATTTATGATAGGAGGAAGGGCGAAAGTATGTATGGCAGGATCACAAAGGCTTCATTTGGGATGACTTTTTTATGTTTCTTAAATCAACTCTCTAGTACAAGAATTAAAAATTTTGTACTAGAAACTGCTTTAAGAAGCAGTATGAAAGTCATTTCAAATGAAGCCAAAATTGATTGTGGATGATAATTGGCACTTGTAAGTGTTCTTTGACTACTCCATCGTGGTGATTTTATCTTTATCCTCGCTACCATTAGAGAAAAAGTGCTACAAAGAGAGGTTGTTTTGTAGTTGAGAAGAGGTGATATGAATGTAGGGTTTGCAAATGAGAAGATATTAATATAGGATTGTATTTGAAGAGGCATAGAGAATAAGGAGAATATAATTTCAATATTAGGATTTCATTTTAAATTTTGAAAGCTAAGATATAAAAACAAAAACTTTTCTTAAAAGCATGGAGAATAATTGCAACTTTAAGAAAAGTAATGCGTAAATAAGAGCCAAACTAGCTCACGAGCAGGTTCGTTTAAAAAATATTAATATAAAATATATTAGGATTTCATATTTTAAGTGTAAAGTTTTTGGAAATATTTAAAAATTATATCAGATTTTCTGTTATTAAGTGATCTTTATTATTTTTCTTATAATTTCACATTTTAAAATTATTTTATTATAATACTTGCTTAAACCATAGTCATTTTTTTCTTTCGTAATAAATCAGGCAGCATGTGAGCCTGCTTGAACTCGTTGAATAAAGCTCGAACTCGATTAATTAATCAAGCTCAAGTTCAAGCTAGTGGTGACTCGAGCTCAGCTTGACCATTTGCATCCCTAAAAACCACTTTATAAATTTATCCGAACCAATCATTTGATCGATTTACCATCAAACCAATCAAATACCAATTTTTTAAATGTCTTCGTCAATGCTTAATATTAAAAGCTTCTAAATCAATCAAAAGGGGTATTGAAAATTTCATCACTCGACGCGACATGTATCATTTCGAACATGTAAAATTAATATTTAATTGTTGAATCCGATGCTTTTGTATATAAAAGAATTTGTTTGGTTGGCTAAATAAGAGCTTTGGTATATTTGAAATGCATTCATATTATTTAGATGAATATAAAATAAATGCATATGATTTTTTATTTGATTTGAAATAGCATGAATGAAGTGTAAATTTCAAAGATGATGGTGATTAGTGGCCTGTGATGACAACAACGACGATGATCGAAGGTGGGGGCGGAGGGCAATAATGGTGGGCGACGAAGAGGGTGATTGGGGAGGTGGCTGACAGCAGCAGCAGTAGACAGAGGTGAATGATGACTAGCGGAGGTGACGTAGGCGGATAACATATGGTGGTGAGTGTTAGTGGCGGTGGTGGTTGACAACAACAATTGTAGTGGCTGATAACGATGGTGCGATTGCCTGCGGGTGACAATGATGATGATTTTATTTTGTAAAAATAAATCAAATATATGGAATTCAAAATGCTCCAAAATTTTATACTAAATTTAAATTATTCACGCCTGTTTTATTTTAAACCAAACAACTCCAAAGTAAATTGCCATGCCATTGGGGTTTTATTTTTTATTTTTAAGCTCCATTGTAAGGAAAATTATTAGGTCCGGACATCGGACCTAGAAATAGGTCCGAATATCCACTAAAAAATTGCCACGTGGACTACGTTTTAACTACGTTTTGACTGTTTTTTGACTGCGCTTTTAGCGCGCTTGACTTAAAATTATGCGGACACGATTTCACGTGTCAAATTTTTTGTGGCTGTCCGGACGTATCTTTACGTCTGGTGTCCGGACCAAATAATTTTCCCCATTCTAAACGAACCGGTTACACAGCTCACCTTGGCCTGTTGGTTGAGAGCTTATGCTTCTAACTAAGAGGTCTTAAGTTCGAGTCTTTGTGTATGTATTGTGTATGTGACTTTGTCTTAAAGGACCTAAATGTCCAAAAAAAAAAAAAAAAAAAAAAAAAAAAAAAAAAAAAACCGAACCGGTTCTCCGATGTACGGATTGTTCGCCCGGTGGGTTATCTAGAATGAATCCAGTGGCACCAATCCTGCCAGTTATACGTTTAGAAGGCTTAAAACCCATTCACCTTTTCGTTCTGGGCTTATCCGCAGGCTAAACAGAGAATTTGGAGCGAGAGTGAAAGAGATTAGCTCCCCTCCATGGCGTACTCGGCTCCTTCCATACTCTCGACGAGCCACAGCACCTTTTCCTCTAAATCCGCCACTCCGATGGCCTTTTCTTATTCTCCTTCAAAGCCTCTTACTCGAACGATTGCGGTTATGAGGGGTTTCCATGGCCTGCGAAAGATTTTCCAGCCTAGCTCTACTAGGCTTGTCTCAGCTCCCAGATCGCATAGGAGAAGTTTCCGCGTCAATGCTGTATGAGTTTGGGTTCATTCTTACTAAATACTCTTGTTTTCTTTTGACGTTCTTTATAACTTTTTATTAGGGTTTGTTCTTTGAAAGCGAGGGATATATCTTGATGTGAATTTGGAAATTATGCTTCGGATTGTGTTAGAAAGATACTTCATACTGTTTGTGGTCAATTTGAGTTTTGTTCCTTCTAAAATTCCTAATGCTCTCCCAGGCTTGTATCGGCTCTCAGATTGCATAGGGGAAGTTTCCTCGTCAATGCTGTTTGAGTTTGTGTTCATTCTTACTAAATACTCTTGTTTTCTTTTGACGTTCTTGATAACTTTTTATTAGGGTTTTTTCTTTAAAAATCTGAGGGTTATATCTTGATTTTAATTTAGAAATTATGCTTGAGATTGTGTTGTAATGATACTTCGTACTGCTTGTGGTCAATTTGGGTTTTGTTTTTTCTAAAATTTCTAATATTCTCCTAGGCTTGTCTCAGCTCCCAGATCGCATAGGAGAAGTTTCCTTGTCTATGCTGTTTGAATTTGTGTTCATTCTTACTAAATACTCTTGTTTTTTTTTACGTTCTTGATAACCTTTTATTAGGTTTTATTCTTTGAATGTGAGGGATATAGCTTTATGTGAATTTTGAAATTATGCTTTGGATTATGTTGGATGGATACTTGGTCAATTTAGGTTTTGTTCCTTCTAAAATTCCTAATACTCTCCTAGGCTTGTTTCAGCTCCCAAATAGCTTCTGAGAAGTTTTCAATGTCAATGCTGTATGAGTTTGTGTTCATTCTTACTAAATACTCTTGTTTTCTTTTGACGTTCTTGATAACTTTTTATTAGAGTTTATTATTTGAATGTGAGGGATATATCTTGATTTTAATTTGGAAATTATGCTTTGGATTGTGTTGTAAAGATACACAATACTTTTTGTGATCAATTTAGGGTTTGTTCCTTCTAAAATTCCTATTTATTTTTTTTCCTGTTTTATTGGCAGAGCTTCCCGTTGGTGGGAAATCCGGCACCCGATTTTGAGGCAGAGGCAGTATTCGACCAGGAGTTTATCAAGGTATTATTTCTATGAGCATCAGTGTCCGTTCCATTCACATTTGTATGTTCATAAATATATATTCTAAACTCTTGTGGATTTGTTTTACTTTTTGCAATATTATGAAATTGTTTGAATGCGGCCTTTGATATATCTTGTACGTTCTTCCCATCCTCAAGTTCATAGAGGGGCAAAAATGTTTCCTCAAACTAGCCGAAATTGTCATATTATATATTTCTACTAGGCATTTTATGGACGAGAATTTCATACTATTCAATGCCTAGGAACTGTTTTATCCCAGTCATGGCCTACTCACAACCATTCACTGTTTTTTACCATTGTTGATGAGGTTTGTTCCACAGCCTCCACTACCATTTAAAAAACATTGAACTAATTGGATGAATGATGTAGGCAAGGGGCGAGGTCAAAACATCTTGGGTTGTGCTTGGGCTTGGCAATCCTTGGGTGTGCTAGCTTCTTGGGTTCTTTGGTCTTTTGGGTTGCTGTTGTGATAGGAAACACTTGTAGATCGCAAGTATTTCCTATCAATCTTCTAGAAAACAGCAAGAATTCTTCACAAAATCCACACAAAATTGCAAAAATAGTAGATAATCGGTATTACTTGATTAAAGGGAAACAGAAAAAATAGCAAGATACAATTGATCCTCTATTCAAGAGGAGGATTGTTCTCTCCCAATCTCTAGACGCCTCTAGAGCTCAAAAGAAATCCAAGAGATCTCAAATTTCGGCCCAAATTCAAGATGCCCAAACCGTAGGAAAACAAACTATTTAATGCATACAAATCAAAAGGAAATCCCTAAACAGTCCCTACATTCAAATTTCCCTCTCAAAACTCTCAAAAAAACTTCCTAAAAGGCTTGGTTTGAACTAGTCGGGGGCGTGCGGCTGAACGAGAGGTGGAGGCTTCCGCCTCGTTACGCTTGGGCCGATCCCGCGTGGACTGGTCTAACATGTTGCTTCTCGGGTTGGGCCTTGGCTACTTTGATTTTGAGCTGAATTCTTGGGAGCTGCTTGATTCTAGCTCATTATTGCTTGAGCTAATATTTTAGCTCATTATTTGGAGGAGTATTTGCACTTGTTAGCTCATTAAGTGGAGTGGTTTCTTGCCTTTTCCCCTTTTTTGTGTCCCCTCGGTTTCTTCCTGTGCTGTTTCCCATGGCTGGTTCTTCTCCCTTGCTAGGTGCTGGTTCCAGTCCCCTTTGTGCCCCTTCAGTTTCTCCCCTGGCTGTTGTCTCGTGGCTGCTTTACCCAGTTTCTATGTTGCCTTTTCGGGTGCTGTTTTGGACAGCTGCTAGCCTTCCAAATTCTCCTATTTTAATTAGCTTAATTAATGGTTTTATGGGCTGTTTGGCTGCCCCCATTTCCCCTATAAATATAATGTGTTTAGAGGTTTTAGAGAGAGTTTTATAATAAGATTTTTGGATATGAAAACCTGAGGTTTTCTTGGAAAAGCCTGAGAGCTTGTTCCAACTTTTCTCTCTTCTTCTTGGGAATGCTTGCGAGCTTGTCCTCTTCTTCGTCTCGGCTTCTAATCTCTTTCTTCTCTCCGCAAGTTCGACGCCACTTGTATCCTTTTTCTTAAACGATGGAATTGCAATTTTAGGTGTTTTATATTTGTCAAAAGTTGTTAGGTGTTTGTTTTAATGTTATAAGTTTGTAAGGGTTGTCTTCATCCTATAAAAGTCATATTGTGTTTAAATGTTGTATTTTGTCTAAATTTTAGTATTTTGTGTATTTTCTTATTATCCTAGGAAGAGTTTCTTTTTTTTGCAAGAATTAGAGTTTTTTCTAATTCTTGCTTGCATCAATGAATGAAGGAGTTGTGTGTTGAGAAAACTCAGCAAAACAAGTTGCCCAAGTTCAAGATAATGAAATAAAGCAATCTCTAATTGTCCAAGTATATAAACATAAAATTAGAGAGCCTGAGTTCACGGTCCAAGAAAATAGAGATTATACCTCAACCACTAAATAATTCCCTCTTTAATAGTTGCAAAGGTAGTATTCTTGGCATCTAAAATTAACAGCTTGTTCTGAAGTTCTGTTCTCTGTCTGTCATAGCATCAAATTTTCTAACTTATTGCCTGAACCCACCCAATTTCTCTATTGATGTTTTCATGGAGCGGATCCTACAGGAGTGCAACAATAAGAAGAAAAGAAATTTGAGCAGAAATTATATGAAATAAGATTTTGAACTTGCTCTTAGTCAGCTAAAACTTAATTCATCACTCTTCTAGCTTTTGACATACAAGTAAGAAATAACTTAAAAAATTCAGATCAAATAAAATAGAATCAAATCCATATCACATAAATCATGATATGGAGAAAAATTATTCTAGAGAGGAGGCATTCATTGCAACACTACCTCTAAATGCTGAATTTTTGGATATCATCAAGCTTGCTTCCTAAAGCATCTAAGTTGTTTGTTCTCAAATATTTTGTGAAAGTATTTGCAGGAGGAGATGGGAGAAATACTACTATGAATGAAAACTAATTTGTTAGTCTTTTTTTTTTTCTGCATATCGCCAAACACCATTGGTCTTCTTAAATGAAACAAGCATTTTCTAATCTTGAAGTAGTAAAATAATAAGCAATTAAAGAATAACGTCAATCAACACATCTCCTAAGATGCTTCTTCTTTCACTTTCTACCTAAACTTGAACTAAAGATTATTGATCAAATAATCTTTCATTTTCTTCGACTAAAATTTATTTCTCGTTTGAATTTAAATCATAAACACTGGGCTTCCAAAAATTTTTCCTAGAAAAGGAAGAAGGTGATGCAGAAGAACCTTGAGTTACGTTAGAAGGAGATGGCTAAGCAAGATCATCTTGAACTTCCTATGATTTGGTGGAGATATTAGTAAAAGAAGAAAATTTATCAAACGTAGCGAGTCTAGTGATGTAAACTTTTATTGCAACTGGATGGATAATCTCCAACATTCTTTGGAGTCATGACAATAAATTTACACCTTATAGACTTTTAATTAAACTCGTAAGAGAATTCATTAGAATTAACCACAAAATATACTACGAAATACTGAGAGAGAAAAATTACTCTCCTACCCAATTACTTCTTAAATAGAGAAATATGCTCAACATCTCTAAAAGGAGTTCTACATATGCAATAGTTTGCATGCAATTGAGTAAAACCGCTCATCTACCATAGCATCCTTATGTCTGCAACACATAACTTAATATTATGCTCCTTTTAATGACCAACATTTTGCACCTTAAAGTATTGCAGGTCTAATCACCATCTTATAGAATTTTCCCTTAAGTTTGAGGGGGACTTTTCTATCACACAACAAGTCTGATGCCTTCCTCCATTTCAACCATGAATCTTGAATTCTACTAATAATATCCCCATCTATTTCACCATCACTCTAAACAATAGATTCAAGATATGTAAAACGTCTACTCTTATTAATGACTTGATCACCCAAAGTCACAATTCCCCCCACTAGATCTATTATTACTAAACTATAATCCATATATTCAGTTTTAGATCGACTAAAATGAAAGCCTTTATACTCTAAAGTTGGCCTCCATAATCCAAGTTTACCTTCAACTCTCTCTAGTCTTATCAACAAGAAAAATATCATCAGCAAAAAGCATACATCAATTCAAAAGCATAAACCAGAATTGAATCTCTTGCAAATCTCTTGTGAGAACATCCATGGCTAAAGCAAAAGATATGGGCTTAAGGTTGATCCTTGATTTAATCCAATTGAAATAGGAAAATACTTGGTCAAGCCATCTTGTATTTGAACACAAGTAATAACTCCTGCATACATATCCGTAATGACTTGAATATAAGCATTATTATCCGCTTTCTTTTCTAGAGCTCTCCATAACACTTCTCTTAGAACTTTATCATATGCTTTCTTTAAATCAAAAAATTTCCTATGTAGATCCTCCATATTCTCTCTATACTTCTCCATCAAACCTCTCGATAAATGTATAGCTTCCATAGTTGACCTACCCGACATGAATCCAAATTGACTTTGAGAAATATTAGTATCACGCTGTAACCTATGCTCCATAATTCTCTACCATAGTTTTAAAGTATGACACATTAACTTAATTCCTCTATAGTTTGCACAATCTTGTGCATAACCTTTTTTCTTAAAAATAAAAATCAATACACTCATTATCTACTCATTTGACATCTTCTTAGTCTTCAAAATAATATTAAAAAAGTTTAGTAAACCAAGAAATTCCTTTATTTCCTAAGCATTTTCACACTTATATTAGAATATCATCAGGTCCAATAGCTTTTCCATACTTCATTTTCTTTAATGCCTTTCTAACTTTGGTTTTACTAATACGCTGATAAAAGCAAAAATCTTTATTTTCATTTGGGGCACTAAGGTCATTAAAGCCAATTACATTCTCATAATCTTCATTGAAAAGTTTATAAAAATTTCTCATCCATCTTAGTTGAATATCCTCTTTTAATAAAAATACTTTTTGATCTTCATCTTTAATACACTTCACTTAAACTAAATCATTACTATTGTTATCTTTTTGTTTGGCTAACTTATATATATATTACTGTCTATAGTATCTAATATATTATATAAATCATTAAAAGTTAAAATTTTTGTATTGCATATTTCTTTCTTAGACTCCTTCGGGCCTTTTTATATCTTTCCCAAATATCAGAATATATCTAAACCAATTTTTATAACAAATGTTCTTATTTTTGATATTTTCTTACACATTTTAATTATACCGCTAATTAGTTTTACTATTATGAGCTTTTACCTTTGATACTTCAGGTGCTTGATACTTTTGATTTTGTACAGTCATGGCTTTTCTGTTTCTGTTCTGTTCTTTCTATCTGCAGCCATGCACTGTATTTGTATATGATTGTTTTGATGAAGGAAAAGATAGATGAACTGTTCTGTATTTGGATGTTAATAGTAGCTTTGTGTTTTTCTGTCTATTTAATATTTGGAAGAAAGTCTGAAGCAAATTCCAAAGCTAGATCCTGGATTT